GGTATCCGTCCCTATGATCGCATATCTATCCGGTTTGCCTCAGATGAACGCACTTTCACGATGGGCATTCATTCACCGCCTTTCAAGAGTCAAGAATCGTGGTTGGAGAAGCACGAACACGAACGCCCCCGCGGCAAAGCCACCTTCTTTTAAAACATCCGAACTTTCGCTATTTCCAGTATTTCAACTGATGGTATGTGTCATTCGAAGTGATGTCATATTATCTTGATATTCTATAACCGTAGCAGAAGACACCACGGATGCGAGAACAACTTGTTACTTTGTGACCATCGTGAAACCTCTGTTTGACCGCTCTCGGCAGGAAACCAGGGATGATGGGTGGACGTGCTCATTCTCGAACAGCTTGGTAGGTTCGATTCTTTATAATCTATTCTGCTCGCATTACAGACTGACACCGCGTGCAGCTGCGCCGCGACTTAATCGACTTGGAGGTTTCTGAAGGCAACGCCCGATACGCCAATTCAAGATTTTCAAGAGCTTAAACAAACCTCTAGCCCAAATTCGGTGTCTAGCAGATCCATGGATATCAAGCATGTTCAGCGGTTACCCTGACCTGCACCTTCGATCCCCTTGGAGCGCAGAACATCATCTAATCGGAGTCTGTGGAGCCTCAATGATCGTTATATATGACGACGCTTCTTCTACGTGGTTTAAGATGCCTGCAAAGCTCGGAATGTTTATCTTCCTTTCACTGCACGTTCTCGAGTCGGAACGACACGATACCTTCTTCCTGTGAAGCCTCGACGTTCGTTATCAACTCCGAATTGATTCTAATATGACGACGCTTATTCTACGTGGATTAGCATGCAAGGACCTGAGGACTCCTGCAAAGCTCGACATGTTCATACCCCCTTCATTGCACGTTCTCAAGTCCGAGCCACGCCTTCTCCCAAGACGAACTCCCATCACATCCGCTAGACTTCAAGAAATCAACATTCAGGAGCAAATGATGGTTCGAAAGGCACCAGCGCCCAGAGAGGACGTCTAGGGGTTGAGAAGCGAATGGAGAAGATAGGGTGGATGGGGATGACGACAAAGTCCGGGAAGTCCTGTAAAGCCAAACGTGTATCAGGTAACGGCGACTTTGGTGCCGCCACTACTCTCCATCCGACAACGACGGCGACGATGTCCGTAAGCTTAAAGGACGCAAGCCCAAGGTCGCTGATACATCTTGCAAACCTCGCGCCCCAGCTAAGGAAGCTCAAACACAACTCTGGTGAAGACCAGGAAGCCCCGCCTTTCAACCGACCTTGCCGGGCGCTAATGGACATTGAAGTGCCAGCACACTCCACGTTTCAGGAAAAGGAAGGGGAGAAGTCGTCGTTCCAGCAGCACCCTACGCTATCTCAACAACGATGCCGGAAGAGCTCTCTGTTCGCGAGTTACGTCTCGTCATCTACAAAATGGCGCCTGTCGATTTTGAATCGAGTTGTGCAGGACGCCGAAAGGAGACAATGCCTTTTCTTAAGGTAAGCGCAGTCCCGTCCCCGAATTCTTCGCTCATAAGATTCCCGTTTACAGTTACTCGCTTCCATCGTAGACTAAATGGATCTGGGAATTTCAATACCATTGACGCGTTGCCGGTCGTTTTTGGGTATCGTCTTCCAAAATGCGACAAACTGTCTGCCCCTACTTATCCACAATTCTGCAAGAAATCCAGTCCTTGCGGAGTGTAGTGTTGAGATCCACTCCCGCGACATTCTCGATCTGGTGAGCCTCACACAACTCAAACAGACTTGTAAACAGCTCATCATCTCCTTTATAGCCCGGTCCAGATGTATTCAAACTCGTCGTTTCACGTCAAGTGTGCAAGAACAGTTGAAGCGGGTACTCGCTCAACGGACGAACAAGCGCATACTACCAGATTCAACGTCACCCAAAGGACTTAGCACCACTTTTGATTGCAAACGACTTCTCACTTTCAGGTTTGCCTCGCTCATTCGAACCTCCCATCTCGAAGCTTGTCTCACGCGTTCTTGACAGGGTGAAGTCGGCTAAACGCGTAAATGAAACCCAAGGCGCCAACTCAGCGTAAAGATAGTACCACGAAGACATCGTAGGAAGCTGAAAATGCGCCGAGCCTATCAATTGACGGAACCCTTGTCAAGATAGAACCATCCGTTAAGCTGGACAGGCTTCGCCTCGTGCAGGAAGTGAAGAGTACTTTGGAGGTGAATAGGTGGATTTCGTGCGATTGAGTGATGGCCACATGCAAGCACTATGTAGACTTCGGCAGCAGCCTCCGAGGCGGCAGAGGTACTGGTGGGAAAGGAAGAAATAGAAACTTGCGAAAGGACATTTGGGAGGAGGGGGAAAACGTATTTTTCAAACAAGCCAACGATAACGTTGATCTACTACGCCTTACTTGGTAGATGCGTAACACCTTTTTGTGACTTGAAGCCGTGAATGAAGTGGAATTGGTGTATGCAAGGTGTATGAGCTGAGTGACTGTTGTTGTGATCACACACACCTCTATACTCGCCCACCATGACATGACGACTCATGTAAGCGTACGTCCCTCGAGCCTGTCTCTTCTAGTACTCAAAACTGACGTTAAAATAGGGATCATAGACGTCCTAGGCACGTAGATCTTATCCGCGGTTCTCACCACACACCACCGCACTCGTATGATCAAACTTCAAAGCCCACCCACCACAAGAGAATCGACGCGCTTCACTCCCCTCATCAAATCGATAGCCTACCGAGTTCTAAACGGACTAACGTACGACCACCACCCACCTTGAGGGGTCGCACATCAAGCTCATTGATTTTCCGGACCATCCGTGGAATTAGGTACCTAAGAGGAGGAAGACGAAGAAGACACGCAATATGCGAAGGGGGGGAAAGTTCAAAGAGAGAAAGGTGAAGATGGGAGGTCGAAGAGGAGAAGGTACTGAGTGACCAATCCATGAAGCCGCCGAAGCTCTAACAAGCATGCGGTGAATGCGCCATCCAGTAACAGGTCGGTGCAGCCAGCTCGAATGGTGTATGCTACGCAGGAAGAGTATCCCTTCTCTCGCAGGACTCTAGGGGATATTATCCTCAGGAAGAACATCCTGGGGAAGAATCTTCTCTTCCCTTTCCGCAAGCACAAGCCAAGTACTGGGACCACCATCCCCATTTTCCACCATGCACATCGTCAAAATGTCTGTGGACGCACTGGATCTCGCAAACTATGCACGTAGCACCTTTTCACCGCTTTTTGTATCCTTTCCTGGCATCCTTTCCATCACTGCCAAGCACGCAATACACTCCACCGTGGACGGGGCCAAGTCGACCACCAAGCCTCGCTCCACGGCGGAGTCTCACGTCGACGACATTTAACGGGAACGCGGAATTCTCGTAGTAGGCAAAGACCGACGTCACTGCCGCCGAGTCTGCACGCTAGCGCTGCTGATAAAGCAGCCTAGCACCCAGGGAACGATATCCCTCAGTTTCCTGCTCGGTCTCAGAGCTCCCACCCAACAACAACACCCCACACCACCACTTCGACGATCCAGTCTCTCCATCCCACCTTCACAACTCCACTCGTAACAAAACGATCTTCGACCCCACTTACGTCCCCACTCTACCTCCTTCCGCGAATTTGTACCATGGGCCTCCGACCCACTCGAATACAACGCCACACTACTCAACCCCATCGTCAAAGAAGAGCGCCTCCGCATGCTCGAGCACGAATTGGGTACACACAAAGCGCATCAAGCGATTTCTTGGACAAGCGCGGGAAGGCACTCATCGGAAGCATCGACGTGAAAGGCAACCACATAACGCAAAGCCCGAAAAAATTTTCTGCAGTTTTGGCGGGGATGGCGGCGGTGTCGAGTATATGCGCTGCCATCGTCATTGAACAAACTCGTCCGCGGGATCCACGCTCCTGCTCCTTCTTTACCTCTTCGTCTTCCAATCATGGTGTTGTTCCCCACGAAAAAAGGGAAAAGACATGGGGAACCCATTGTTAGGGAACGGAATGATGGTCCTCCCCGTTCCTGGGGGTGGTGCAGGGGTGAAGAAGAAAGGTGAAACGGGGGAAGAAGGGAGGAGGAGGAGGAGGAGGGGGAGATGTGCAAGTCAAGACCCACAAGCCTTTAATTTCGGCCAGAACTACGAGGACGACGAAGATAACAACGAAGGACCAAGCTACGACGACGGTGGTATGCCAGGCAGCTTTTCCTATCCAAAGCCACGTAGTAAAGGCAGAGGAAGACACCAACGCAGACACGGGATACTTGCCAGGCTGGCAATGGAAGAATCATGGCGCCATGCACGAGGATGGGCCAAGAAGCTTGCGGTAGTTGACGTGGCGGGTGTAGTCTTGTGGGGAGGCGCGTTTGTGTTCATTTTGTTGGGTTAGAGGTGTCCCAGTGGTGCGTTTTCGGGGTGGTACGTCTTTTTCCTATCTTCTCTCATTGGTGGATGTGTGACGCTAACGGATTCCCTTTTTTTTTCAATAGATACAGGTGCAATGCATACAACGTCTCCTCAGCCGCTGCATGTCGATCATTTTGGGGTTAGTGTGTTTTTTGATGTGCAGGATTTACAGTTTTCGCCACGGATCAGGTGATGACGATGACTTGACCTCTTTTTGTCGAATGTTGGACTATATACTTCCAAATTGTCTAACCATCTGTTTCGTTACTGTACCATTCCGGAACGCTGAATAGTAGTTGACGCCCCTATTGACTCCCCTCCCCACTCATACGAGCACTTTACTCGAAGTAGTGGTCGACATAGTTGTCCGTTGAAATGCCTTGCGAGCGATTCACTTTCGGTTGCGACTTCCGGTAGCCCACTGAACACTAGCCCCTGTCCGGACCTGACACAAACCACGGGTGAAGCAGTGCATCAGCAGCCTGGAGCGGCTTGGAAGAGGGGTAGGCGAGGAAGTGGGAGAGGAGGTCTAAGGGTTGAGATGCGGACGGAGGAGGTAGGGAGGACAGGGAGGAAGATGAGGAGGACGCAACAGACTGGGATGAGAGACCGGACAAACATGTCTGAGGGATGGTGGGTGAAGACGAAGAGGCGGCAGGGGTGTGTGTACGGTGAAGAAGCCAAGAGGGCTGGTGAAGCCAAATATTGTGGGGATGAGGGGGATGAAGTCGGACAAGGGGGTAAATTGGGCAACAATATCTTGACAATATCGCCAACCAAACGGCCGGTGGCACGTCATCATGGTACACGACGGATTTATAGCTTGGGAAATCTTCGAACTTCCTTTGCGCAATTGACTCGATTTCATACTGTAAGAAACGCGTGAGACGAGCTCCAAGCCGTGATGATATGCATACCTTGTAAATATGGATTCGTTTACCATGTAAATCGATTCTACGCCCCCCTTGAGCAAAGTTTGAACCTCATAGTAGGCGCTTGCTCGTCCGTTGATGTGTACTTGCTCCTTTGGAGTAACTTTGAAAAGGAGCAATGTGAACTTTAACGCGGATATGTGGGTTCATAAATGGCTCACCAGATCAAACAATTTCGCAAAAGCGGATCTCAACGCTACATTCCCAAGGCCCCAATATCTTGCACAATTGTAGATAAGCACAGAGACTTTGGCTCGTCGTTTACGATCTGGACACAAATGACAAAGAGTCGACGTTGTTAGATTCACAAGTCCTGCGATAACTAAATCGGAGTCTTATCAGCCTGAACTTCGAGAAGACCAGAGTGTGCTTTACCTTGTGAAGAGGTTCAATCTCCTATCGTCCTGCACAGCTCAGTTTGAAATTGGCAAGTGCCATCTTCTAAGTGACGAAGCGTAATTTGCGACCCGTGTCGAGAAAGTGGACAGGGCTGACATAGGAAGCAGGTCGATCCTCCCTTTCCTGAGGTGCCGCGGAAGGTGCTGGGGCTTCAACATACAGGGGAGGTTGGTCGCTTCGACGAGTCGTGTTTAGGTGTTTCCCTGGCTGGGGCGCGGCATTTTCGAGCTGGAGCAGTGGCCTTGGGCTTGCACCATTTGCGGGCAGGTTTGACCTTTTCGTCCTCGTCAGATGCAGGAGTAGCGGCATCAGACTCGTCGTCGTCTGATGCACGTTTTGGCTTCAGGAAACTTCAGGCCTGCTGGCGTATCAGGATCACGGCTGCGACGAGCTGGCCTTAGTTTCTCCTCTCCATTGTCTGCCTCCACACATAAGCTTCGATCTGACAGAGCCAGCGGTACTCGACTTGCCACCGTGGTGAGAACCGCGGATAAGATTTACGCGCCTAAGACGTCTATAGACATTGTTCTATTGTCAGTTTCGAGTACTAGAAAAGACGCAAAGGCTCGAGGGACATACGCTGTCATGAGTCGCAAAGCTAACCACCCGACATAGTTCCTTGACTATATCATGTGGCTCCCTTGCGAACTTCCTCTGTGTCGTTGCGCACTCTCCAACTTCTCATCGTGCGTGCTCAGAAGGATCATTTGAGGTTGGTATACAAGTCCTCGTGACGAGGGATGCTGCAAGGATGCTGAGAGCTTGCGCACCTCAACCCCTCCCCGGACACGTCACTTGATATTATCATATCTTATATTCCAAGATCAACGTTCGACTTCGCACATTTTCTACGTTTCTTTACATATTTGATATATATATTGAGGGGAGAAAATAAACATAACACAGCCTATTTATTGGACATATGAAAAAAATGGCTTCACGGTTATCCTGATTTGGCTCGAACTTTCATAAATAATGGCAGCAAACTTAACAGAAACTAACCCACTTGGCATTGAAAAAATGACTGTCGGAACGCACCATAATCCAGGTTACGGACTTTTTGAGCCATAAAACCAAATGCAAAAAAAAATCTTACTACGGGAGTCGAACCACACACCTTGAGCAATTGCTGTTCCCACGATACAGAGCTCGTCCACCTAGGCCATAAGGACATGCATACATATTTGAGCTAATAGCAATATAATGCCTAAGATTGTGAATGTAACTGTAGTATATTCTCTCTCTAGATGACTATGTGTACACAAAAAAAAAGAAAATTCTGCCTAAATTACATTTTTATTTATTGGAATACTGTAATATTATGCCAACCATGATCATATCGTGGTCTGAGCGAGACAGAGTACTAAAAAGATGGCGTTCAAGGTTCGAAGTGGTAAGTCACGTGACATGTCCGGGGAGGGGTTGAGGTGCGCAAGCTGAAATTAGAGACGATGCACAGGTATTTCCTAGGCTAATCCCTACTATCATATCAATCAAGGGGCAGAGATGGAATAGAGTGAAATCCTAACCATCTTGTGGTGACAATTCTTGAAATCTGCGAAGTATGATTGCCCAAGTTCAAAGGCATCCATGTACTTTGAGATTGGGTGCATACGTAAAGTTCATCCAGCGACACGAGTAGAAGAGGATGGGAATGGTGTAACCCAAGAGGGAGAAGGGTAGAAGATAAAAGGGAGAGCATATGAGGTGGCTCGAGAGGAAGGGCGAAAGGGGAGGTGGCCACGAGTGCATTGAGAAGGATCGTTGACCCCGACGGCGGGAAATCTGGAAGAAACGCAGTTCGTTAGACGTAAAAATGGCTAGTAATTTTAAGAAAAAGTCTGACCGGGTCGTTTGAAGGTGAGGTCACCGTCGTGATTGAGGGTTGGGGCCTGTTCAGGTCCCCGGCTTAGGCTTAGCTTAAGTAGCGTCGGCTTCACCGCCAAAATCAAACAATTTCGAAGCCGAAGCCACGCTGACAGCTTCAAATTTGCGTTATTCTCGCTGGAGGATTCAAAGACTGGCAAGTCTTTGAATTCCTATGGGTAAGACGTGTTGGTCAATAAGTGCCGAAAACAGAGAACGAAAAGCAACGACGGAAGGCACCAAAAGCGACATGCATAAATGGTCTAAAAAAATCAACCACAAAGCACACTCAAACCAACCACTTAAGCGGTACCAAAAGGAAAATACCACAAAAACCAGCACAAAAGGAAAACCAACTCACTGGCCAACTCTCCGCAGTAGGTGCTCCACGCAAGCCCGATCTCTCCCCGATCTCCATTAAACAGTGTTTCCCTCGTCCATTGCGCGCCTGGGTATCCTACGCGGAGGTATTTAGGTATCAGGAAAGGTTTAATCTGCTTGGGTACGTCGCGGCTGCTTGTTGTTGGGGTGGTGGTTTCAGAGGTCCTCCGAGAGTCCGCGGACGACGTTCTCTGGCCTCTCCTCGTGTCCTCGTCTTCGCACGAGTGGGAGGAACAGTTGGACGAAGAGCCGGAAGACAAATCGTCACTGATTAATCGGAGGGGCGTGAAGAACTCTGCAAACGTCGCTCCGAAGCTCCATAGATCTAGTGCTTGAGGATCATATGAGCGGGAGGAGAAGAGGAGTTCAGGGGGTCTGTAGCCTCTGTTTATGTGCGTCTCAGTAAAGTGTCAAAGGTGGAAGGTAGAAAAGGTACCTAGTCGACACTTCGAAATAGAGATGACCTTCTTTTTCTGGGAATAGAGTCGGAGGGGAGGCGGACGATGTGGGGGGTTGGTACGCAACGCCAAAATCGATGAGCTTAACGCATCCTTCTTTGGTGAGCAAGATATTGTCCGGTTTTATATCCCGATGTGCGATCCTTCGAGATGGGTGGTGGAGGTACACTAACGCGTTTAGAACTTGATAGGCTATCGATTTGGCGAGGAGTGTGAAGCGGGCGGGCTCCCCTACCCCCCCTCCTTTGGAAGAAGTGTGGTTGTTCTGTGGAGGTGGGTGTGGGGAGAACCACGGACAAGCCAAGAGCTCGGAAAGGGAGATGGGTATGTATGGCATGTAGATGTTCAACGCGCTCAGATCTACGCGGTCATGGTAGCTACCTAGAACATCGATGATCTCCATTCTCGCGTCAGCCTAGAGTCCGAATCACCAAGGCTCGGAAGGAAGACATACATTTTCATGCGTCACTGAGCTAAGCACCTGCAATTCCTTCACGATGTCGTGCGGTTCCCTAGCAAACTTCCCCTGCGTCGTTGCAGACTTGACCACTATCCATCGAGCGTGCTCAGGGGGGTCATCCGAGGCTGGTATCCACGTCCGCGCGACGGTGGATGCTGGGCCTTCTTCAATGACGTCGTAATGGACTTCTGGCTTCGAAGATTCAGAATTTTGGTGGATAAAGCATGGTAGAGGGGAAGCGTACCATCTGGTAGAAGCGCAGGCCTTGAGCGAGTTGGGTTTGGGTGTCCATTGCAGTGTGGTCGGAGATCAGGACATGGTGTGCGAGTATGGGTTTTTTGTTGTATATGAGCTGTGTAGGTACGATCAGAAATGTCACTAAGCCTCACACGACCAGTTATTCCAAGTCAGATATTATATTCATGTAATACGGACACCTCTACAGAGTCGACGTCCAAACATCCACGGTCAACCGATGATAAACGTTAAACGTTAACCGCCGATTCTGACAACCTTTCAAACGTCAATCCTCTATGTGGACCATAAGCACCCGCCAGAATACCCGGATCCACCATAAAAGGCAGGGACCACCAAAACCACAAGAGCACCCAGACGTACCCAACAATCCGCGTCCACAATTTTGGTGTTGGAAGTGCTGCTTCTCCAGGGCTCGCCAAGCTCGATCCAGAAAGGCTCAACACATTGGAAACGATCGTCTCAGCAGAGACAGCAAGGCCTTGAAGGAGGAAGAATCGGAATGCTCCTAAACTTGAACCCAGTCTGCCGAGCATCATGTATTCGCCCCCAACGTGAACGAGACCTGAGATCAAAAACACGGTGTTAAGGAAGACAAGGGCGGTGTATGGCTTGTTGGACAGTGGAGGATTTTTGTGACCACAAAGATGGTGCATGATTTTAGTGGCTGAAAAGTATTGTTAGTGTAAGGTAAGTAATGGCGTCGATGAAACTTACTCGACGCAATACCTGATGCCACGTCCGCCTGTAAATGGGTGTTTCGGTCAGATGGATCACATCTGGGCTCAAACGTACGTACCCCCAGAACCTTTGCACGCTATAAGCGTCAAACGGACTTCCAAACAGATCCGGCCACTCTTCCGGGCCAGAAATCCCAACACCCACACAAAAAGCAGCCAAAACACAATGTATCGTGTTGATTTGTGCGATGGCGTTGAGGGCGAATGCAAAAACGCCCGTAGTATGATGAAACCAACCCATGTCCTTCACGGATAAGGTGATACCCGACAACGCTGGGTTAGAGTTGATCATCACAGATGCGAAAGTGCCTATCAGCGCGCTGGCGAGGGCACGGATGATCCTTGATGAGACGAATGCGAAGCGTGGTTTGGTTGACGGTCTCGGAAGGGTCCGCGGTTCAAATGACCACCCTATTCCGCGTGGATTGGTGTACAGGCTAAGGGCACGACGGAAACGCTTCATCAATGACATGTCAACCTCTGCGCCCTTATTTCTTGGGGGCTGATCCTTCGGGTAGATGTTCCTCTGGACATCGGTAATGAGGATGTAATCCACGGCTACCATGAGCTGGATCAAGATAGCAGTTCCAAGGCCTTGGTCAACGACCACATCTCCTGTTGAGGTGTAACACACAAGATAGCAGGAAGTGACGGCGATAGGGAGGAAGATTGACCAGCGGGTCCATATTGAAGTTTTGCTTGAAGACACTGTGATAGATAGAACAATTAGACACTGTGTCAGAGCATGAAGACCCCAGGGGAAAGAGTGCCGTTCTGGCATGACGGACGAAGAGAGGGAACACAACTGACCTAATTCACAGCTCGGTTCCTAAACACCGAAGGCTTCTTGACCTTGATGGGGATTTACGCGTTACATAACTTCGCCTTGCACGTCGGTGATGTCGAGGGGCTTTGGGGGGACCAATTTACCATCAAAGTGTTGGAGACAAAGGCGAAAAAGAGTAGCGTACATTCTCGTTTCCCAGCACACCACGGACCCTTCCTACCTGCCTAAAGAGCGGGTTTTGGATCGTTAGTGATTTGGCGACTATCGCTCATGTTCCTAAGGTTTGGTCGAGGCAAAAGTAGGTGTGCGAGAAATCCCAGATCATGCCCCGGAGACACATGACTTTTGTTTGCGGATGTAATTCCAAGGCCACACCGTAAACAACAAGCGCTTCATCTTCCTTCTCAACTCCCATCTCGTCTATGATGTCAAACCAACCCAAAAATTCTACATTGAAACCGCTGTCTAGTCTCAACAAGGTCGCAAGATTGCGGTCGCCGATACCTCGATCTGTGAACGATAGTACTAGTAGTGCAGCCCGCTCCAGTTCTCGCCCACCCACCATGACTCCATCCTCAGCCATCCGCGCGGCGGATGCGGGAATGGCTGCCGCTGGTGAGATACCTGACAACCCCTTGCGTCAAGTCAATATTGACCCTCATCTAATCAAACATTGTAGGCGGCCACCCTCCACATGAGACCGCCCAGCCCTCGCAACAGCCTTTCCCCGTCTTGACTGGTCTGTTCTGCTTAAAATTCTGCTTTCCGATGTTACTGATGGTTCCGACATAGGTCATCCGAAATTTGACTCACGCACCTCGACTGCACCTCCATCCAACCTTCCCACTGTGGATCCAGGGTTCAAGTCAGCCAGTAAATTCTACAATAAATTCTTATGGTTTATATCAAATGCAAGCTCACCATGCAGATCATTCAACTAGCACTGAAGTTGGTGTTGTGAATAATTTCGAGAGGGTTGGGAATGTAAATACTGGCAACAACCAAGGTAGGTCAATTTGGACAATCTCATGTTCAAAACTCTCACCTGCATTCTAACAGGTGTTATCATTCAGCGAGTCACTAATCAAGGTATGTAATAAACACAATATGCTATTGACATCAAGAATTATTTTGTTTACTAGTTGTGGATTTGGGTGTTAAAATTACTCTTCAGACAATTGAGAATGAACAACTCAGTATATATATATATACCTGTTCTACCTGTGTCATTTGAACTAACCACCTTGATTACTTTAGTTAGAGATATTTTTGCATGGCTTTCCCCACCTGACAGTTCTAGGAATTACCATGCAGCATATACAATTTTAAAGAGTCAGCCAAGCTCCTGCTCATGGTTTCTCAATGGGAGAAGCTTTTCTAGGTGGCTGGCAGAGGCTGGCTTTCTCTGGATCAAAGGAAAATGTAAGTTATCTGCTGGTGGATATACTTTAGGCTCTGAATTTACCAATTGTTAAGCTGGATGTGGTAAAACCATTCTAAGGTAAATATTTTGTCTGCTTTGTTGTTCCAAGAGATGATGTTTTATTAGCTCTTCCATCATTAAACATCTCTCCAAAACACAATCATCTCTTGCAACTGCTTATTTCTTTTTTGATGGCAGAGATTCTCAAAAGGAACTACAGCTGCATGATAAACTGATTCGATCACTTATTTGGCAATTCTCACTGAAATGTGGCAATGGTGTACCAAAGGTTTTGGAAAACTTGCATTTTCACTGTGGAAAAGGTTATCAGCAACCATCTATTGATGATCTTCATGATGTTCTCCAAAAAATTCTTGATGGCTTCAGCTCTGCATATATTATTCTGGATGCTCTTGATGAATGCTCTGAAAGAGATAAGGTGCTTGACTGGGTCCAGACTGTTATCTTGCATAAGAATGGAAATCTCAGGCTGCACTTGGTCACTACTAGCAGGCCAGAAAAAGAGATTCATGATAAATTTAGTCCTTACCACTGTGTTGATCTGGTTAAAGCATCTGGAAACTATAATATTGTGGCCTATCTTGAATATCAGCTTCAGAATGACTCTGACTGGCAGAAGTGGAATCAAGAGATTCAGAATGAAATAAAGTCAACATTGATAAAGCAAGCAGATGGAATGTATGTTTTTTTACCCAGTACCTAAATTAATATTTGCTAAATTCAAATGCAGGTTTCGGTGGGTTGCTTTGCAGCTAATGGAGCTGAAGAAATGCCGAACTCGGAAGGCAATCAGAGAACAGCTAAATAATCTACCTGAAGGTTTGGATGAGACATATGATCGAATCTTGTTGGGAATTGATAAAAGAGACTGTGGCTACACTAAAACATTTCTGCTATGGTTGTGTTTTGCTGTTCGTCCAATGACATTGAAAGAACTTGCTGCAACTGTAACTGTTGATCTTGCAGCTAAAAATGGACCACAAATTGAGGGTGAAAATGAACTTCAAGATATCTCAGATGTTTTGAAGATGTGCACCAGTTTTGTTATTGAATCAAAAGGTATGTTGGATATTTCACCAGATTGAGGTAAACACTAAACATAGAACAGATGAAATTAAGCTTGCACACTTCTCTATCAAAGAATATCTCTTGTCTAAGTATGTCAAACAGCATCATGACAAGCAAGTAAAAGTCTTTAGCTTGAACCAAGAGCTCTCTCACTCTATAATATCCCAGACCTGTCTTGCCTATCTTCTGCAACTTGAATCACCAGAGTCAGCAAATAATGCAGATCTTCCCCTTATGAAGTATGCAGCAAAAAATTGGATATTCCACTCACAATCTGGTAGTGATGACCAAGTACAAGAGTCTCTTCTATCAAAATTGATGATGAGGCTTTTAAAACCTAACAATCCTGCTTTTGTTAATTGGGTGAAGATTTATGATCCATGGCATGCTTCTGAACACTTGCCACCACTCTATTATACATGCAAAGTGGGGCTCATCAAAGCTACACTTATTCTGCTAAAAAATGGAGTAGATGTAAATACATGGATGAAGGGAAACTATGGGCATGCACTGCAGGTGGCAGTGTCTGAAGGTCATGAGGCAACTGCAAAACTGCTGATAGAGAATGGAGCAAGTGTGAATGCACAAGGAGGAAATGCACTTCAGGTAGCATCATATAAAGGTCATGGGGCAATTGCAAAGCTTCTGATAGAGAATGGGGCAGATGTGAATGTACAAGGGAGACGCTATGGCAATGCACTCCAAGCAGCATTGAACAATGGTCATGAGGCAATTGCAAAGCTTCTGATTGAGAATGGGGCCAATGTGGGTAAACACCTTGGACTTGTACTCCAGGCAGCATTATCCAAAGGTCAAGAGGCAATTGCAAAGCTTTTGATAGAGAATGGGGTAGATCTAAATTTACATGAAGGATGCTATAGAATAACAATTCAAACAGCATTATGTCTAGGTCATGAGGGGATTGCAAAGCTTTTGATAGAAAATGGGGCAGATGTGAATGTACAAGGAGGACACTATGGAAATGCACTTCAGGCAGCATTATATTTGGGTCATGAGGGAATTGCAAAGCTTTTGATAGAGAATGGGGCAAATGTGAATGCACAAGGAGGACCCTATGGAAATGCACTTCAAGCAGCATCATATAAAGGTCTTGAGGCATTTGCAATGCTTTTGATAGAGAACAGGGCAGATGCCAATGCTCAAGGAGGATACTATGGAAATGCACTGCAGGCAGCATTGCTTGGTGGTTCTGAGGCAATTGTGAAACTGTTGATAGAGAATGGGGCAGATGTGAATGCACAAGGAGGACACTATGGAAATGCACTTCAGGCAGCATCATATAAAAGTCTTGAGGCAATTGCAAAGCTTTTGATAGAGAATGGGGCCAATGTCAATGCACAAGGAGGATGCTTTCCCAATGCACTTCAGGCAGCATTATGTAGTGGTTGCAAGGAAATTTCAAACCTTTTGATAGAGAATGGGGCATATGTGCAAGGATGCTATGGAAATGCACTTCAGACAGCAGTATGCAAAGGTCAAGAGTCAATTGCAAAGCTTTTAATAGAAAATGGGGCAGATGTGAATGCACAAGGAGGACACTTTGGAAATGCACTTCATGCAGCAACATTGTTAGATTATGAGGCAATTGCAAAGCTTTTGATAGATAATGGAACAGATGTGAATGCACAAGGAGGACACTATGGAAATGCACTTCAAGCAGCATCACATAAAGGTCTTGGAGCACTTGCAGAGTATTTTGTAAAGAATGGTGCAGATGTTAATGCACAAGCAGGATGGTATGGAAATGCACTTCAGGCAGCATCATTTAATGGTCATGAGGCAATTGCAAAGCTTTTGCTAGAGAATGGGGCAGATGTGAATGCACAAGGAGGACATTATGGGAGTGCACTTCAGGCAGCATTATCTGGTGGCCATGAGGTGATTGCAAGGCTTTTAATAGAGAATAGGGCAGATGTGAGAGGACACCATGGAAATGCACTTCAGGTAGCATCATCTTGGGGTTATGAGCCAATTGCAAAGCTTTTGATAGAGAATGGGGCAGTTGTGAATATGCAACTAGGATGCCATCAAAATGTACTTAAAGCAGAATCATATCCAGCTGATGGGCCATTGGGAAAACTGCTGCAAGAAACTAGATTAATTGAAATGCAGAGGGCAAATACCATAAAGATTAACTTCATAAAGTGTCATTGAGATGTAACAAGTCAACTATAAAGCTTCTGATAGTGAATAAAGCAGTGGTAAAGTACAAGATCAAATTTTTTCTCAAATTTACTTAGGTGGATGACTAAGTAAGCTTATGATATAAGCATGTAAAAGCTTGTTGTAAGTAAGCAAATGCAATATCAATGAATAGAATGGATCTCTTTGAATAGCTAGTTTGACATATGAGGTAGATGACTTTCATAATTTGCAAACCTCACATGCTCAATGTGACATCTGCTGAAACAGGTAATAGTTCATGAAATTTGATTATATGTATGATTCTGGAGGTCCTATTGTACTAAAAGGACCTAGCTTTTGTAGATAAATATCTCAAACATGTGAGTCAGTAAAAAAATTGGAGAAAAGTTCAGCTTTGGCAGGAGATAGAAAAATGTGGTCAACACCATTGTATATAGTAACTAATTAAGCCCCTTGCTGTCATGTTGCATCTCCAAAAGCATTTTTATCTACCACATATTTGCAATTACATTCATGGATGCAAATGAAAAAGGCTTAAATGGCCACATGGCATTAGCATGGGCAGCATGTAAATACAAGGGGCATCATGTTCTAGTGTTAAATCCCTATCCCAAAACTCCAACAACCAGAGAACCAGAGATGCCTGACACACCACCAGTTACTAGTGGATTGCTCTGACAAGAAACAGTTAAACCATACCCAACAGCTGTAAATGGGAAAGGAACAGACAGATGCTGTGCTCCTAAAGATTTGAATGGAGATGAATTCAAATACAGATTATGGATCAGAATGGTAGAAGCCTTTATGAGAGCAAACAGACATCTATTCCCAACACTTGAGTTGGCAATCAATTTTGCACTCAGTTATATGACCGATGGAAGAGCTGCTGAATGGGCAACCCATTTCATAGACAAACACACAGGAGATGTAGGCCTCCACTCAGGACTAAATTGGAAACAATTCAAGGAATTGTTGGAGAAAATATTTGATCCAAGAAAGACAGAAGACAAAGCAAGAGTCAATCTTTCAGTCTTAAAACACAAGCCAGGAGACTGAGAAAAATATATCCTCAACTTTGAGACATTAGCAAGTCAAGCTGGATATACCCAGAAAGATCAGGAAAATCCAATGCTTGCAATGTCATTTTTGAAGGACTTCATGCTTTGTTAAGAATTAAAGTCACCTCACAGAAGAATCCACCAAAGATGCTCAAAGGAAACATTGAAGATGCAAGAGCTTTTGATCAGTCATATTATCAGATCCAACAGTGGAAAGATAAATTCATAAATGGCAATCAACACATGCACCCTCTCAACCAACTAGAGATCCAAACATCAGATATTGACAGATTCACAATTGAAGAATGAGATGAATATATGAAGAAAGGAAAATGTTTCCGATGTGGACAAACAAGGCACATGTCTTGCAATCCAATCTCAGAAAACCCATATCTACTCCATATAAAGCCATCATGCCACCTCCAGTCAAAGGAAAAAATGCCACACAAAGGGTTCCTTACCACTGCTTAACCCTCTCTATTCTTTTTACCAGGGTGTTTTTAGCATTTTTAGTGGCCATAAATCTTTGTTACCCACAGGAGGTGGAAGGTTGTATTTTTTTAGAGGGAAGCTCATGGAAGGAACAATGAATAGAGAATATAAGAAGTAATGTTTTGTAAATATTTAAGGGTATTAAACATGCATAAAGGAAATACTAGGCCATCACCCACCATCATGCGAGGCTGAAGCACTGGAGCAGAGTGCCACCAAACACGGCTTGGGCTCTGCTCCAATGACTGAGGCCATCAGCTTGGCTTTGGCTTCAAAATGGCATGATTTTGGCCCTAACTGTCATGCCTTAGACCTTAGGTGTGCCAACACCTCCACATATGAGCATCAATCTGGCAGACTGAGCATTGTCAGTAATGTCGGTCATCGTGCAAGGTGCAAACATGGAGAGTGCTGAAAATTTTATAGAGGAACAGTTGAGATATAAATCTTTGCATCAGAACCAGATTTGTACAATGGGGAGAAGCACTCCCAAAACTTCATGTACTTATCTTATCCTAATATGAGCGAGCTTTCATTCCTCTAGCTTACTCATCACGGAGTGTGCCAACACCTCCACACATGAGCATCAATCTGGCAGAGCCAGTGCACTGAGTAAGTAGGTCTACCAACAACTCTCACAGAACTAAACTTTCATAATTTAAATACAACCGAAAAAAGCCGACCTGTGAGGAGCGAACCGCGAAGCAATTCGGTAATGAGCAGGGAGGTTTTCTTAGCACAAAAGGTTTTGTTAATAGTGCTATTGCCATCAGCAACTGAATTGTCAGTCAGCAAGCAAGGTCAATGCTGCCACTGGTGAACATCAGCCTATACTTTCAAATTATCCACCCATTGATTTCATTACTGCAGAGCAAGGGGGTTCAAGAATTTAAAAAAAGTAGCTGGGGTCGAATTTTTTTGTAAGGCCCTGTGTGCTTGACCTACCTACCTACGTAATCAGGCACATGCCTATATATGGCAATATGACATCATCATCATAATCTCTGATCCTCTAAGGCTTCACATACCCAATTTCATGGGGCTATCTCCAATGCAACACATTGTAGGTGGTACTAAAAAATAAGTGAGTGTAGTGATTAACTTGTGCAAGACTGATACTCACCTATTGAGTCTCACATCCAACCTTTTTATATTTTACCAAGCCATTGCATCCTGAGTGCAATACCACACCACACAGGCATCCATTTAGAGTGTCTGATGTGTCAAAAGCATCAAGATGATTTGAGTTTTGAAATCAGGTCACACAGCATACCCATTGGTGTCAAGAACTGGTCTCTAACTGTTTTGTCAATAAATTGTGATTGATTAAAACATTAGACAAAAATTTGATGAAGATTAGACTGTGAAAAACAATTTTGAAGCCAGAAATTGGGCCGGATATAATGAAATATAATATCCAGTCAAGATAATGTACTATACAATGATATTTTAGATGCAGGAATACTGTAAATCACCTTGGAAAACCAATTTAGGACTATCTTATAGAGGGTTCCAAAAATCTTTTTTTCAGCCTATGGCCGACCTACCTACCCAACCCCCGGTCTGGCATTCAGATCCCTGAACCCCCTTGCTGCAGAGAGACAGAAGTGTGGCGCACAAATACGCTGCACTAAGGAGCAAATGGCTCTCATAGCCATTGGTAAACAGTAAATGACTATGTTACCAGACAGTCCATCGTTCAACAAAGAGAGATCAATTTGATGAATGCATTGCATTATCTAGTCCGGGGTGAAACCTTACTAGCATGTAAATCCTTCACATCAAAAAACACACTAACCCCAAAAGCGACACATAAAAGACATACAGCGGCTGAGGAGATGTTGTAAGCATTGCACCTGTATTCATGCAAAGGAAGGGGAATCCGTCAGCATCACACACTCCACCAATGAAAAAAAGACAGAGAAGAGAAGAACAAGACGTACCACCCCGAAAACGCACCACTAGGACACCTCTTACCCAACAAAATCAACACAAACACGCCTCTCCACAACAATACACCCGCCACGTCAACTACCGCAAGCTTCTTCGCCCACCCGGGTGGATGGCGCCATCATTCCTCCATTGCTAGCCCGGCAAGTATCCCGCGTCTGCATTGCTGCCTTTACTATGTGGCTTGGGAAGGGAAAAGCCACCTGGCATACCGCCGTCGTCGTCGTCGTCGCTTTCACCTTCGTCGTCGTGGTTGGGTCAGAGTTGAAGGCGTGTGGGTCGACGATGAGGTTGATTTGTACGTCTCCCCCTCCCGCTCCTCCTCCTTTGCCTTTCCCACCATTCTTCCCCCGTTTACCGCCGCCTCCGCCTTTCTTCTTCCCCCCTGAACGAGCAAGACCATCATTCCGTTC